ATAGCAATAGCAGTAAGCGGTATATAAGTCTAACTGCTATTGCTATGGAAGGCTGAGTCCACCTTGAGCCGGTGAGATTTGAACTGACAAATTTCAGGCAGCCGGCAGGCAGCAGAAGTAGCCTACGGTACTGCACTTTGACCATTGTGCCACCGCGGCTTAATCTCATATTCCTTAAGACACGAAGGAGGACCTTGACACCAAGCCAAGGGAACAAAGAACGATTTGCCATAACAGAATATTACTTGGCAGGAAGCCTTTTGGAGCAGAGAAAGCTGTTCATCTCCCAATTGTTTGCTTTGGGAATAAAAGCCCCGTGTCCTGCTGATTTGCTTGTGTTATTTCTCCCTGTCTTTATCTATTTGCATTGCGATAACTGGGAGGAAGTTTGTAATTGCTGCTTCTAATGAGTGGAAAAGAACTACACCTAAGAGTCCACCTCTCCCAAACTAGACATCTCATTTCTGTCCGTTTTCTTCTCTTTAGATTGTTTTAGAGGCAACCTAAAACAAGGCTCCTTCCAAGGATTCCACAAGCTCTGCTTGTGATAGCAATAAACCAGGTGTTTATTTTGGCACCAGGCACACAATCCCATGGAAAAATCAGGCTAGAGAAAGCGTGATCCTGCTTCTTTTTCAGAGCATGTTACACATTCATACAACTCTCCATAACTACTCAAACGTAAGTTGTAGTAAGATTGATTCCCAGATGAATATACATTTTCATCTAACAGCAATAGCCCACAGACTTTTTATACCGCTACATGGTGCTTTTATAGCCCTCTCTAAGCGGTTTACAGAGTCAGCCTATTGCCCCCCACAATCTGGGTCCTCATTTTACCCACCTTGGAAGGATGGAAGGCTGAGCCAACCTTGAGCTCGATGAGATTCAAAACTGGCAAATTGCAGGCAGCCGGCAGTCAGCAGAAGTAGCCTGCAATACTGCATTCTAACCACTGCGCCACCATGCAGTGGTTAGGATGCTATGTTCACGTAGCTTTTAGGAGGGTAAAAAGCTGCCCGGGTTCGCTTTGGATAGTGAGATGGGCAGCTAAAGATAAATTTAATAAATATAGTAAATGATATGAATCATTTTTATAGCAACGGCACTTAAACTTATATACCACTTTGCAGTACTTCATAGCGCTCTCTAAGCGATTTACAGAGTCAGCATGTTGCCCCCGGCAATCTGGGTCTTCATTTTATCCACCTCGGAAGGGTGGAAGGCTGAATCTACCTTGAACTGGTCAGGATCGAACTCCTGGCAGTGACAAGAGTTAACCTGCTATACTGCAGCACCAAAGCTTTTATGTCCAAATTCAGTCGTAAGAGGACAGGGTGTTTTGATCACAGATTGTACTGGAAATGTATGCCATTGATTTTCTTCTTCTTTATTTTCCAACGCCATTACCCTTGCTTCTGTTAATCTTTGTTGTTGTTTTTTTAATTAGCTCCTTTAAATATCAGGAGCTTATTAAAATCCTATGCCTCATTTCTACTGCCCTGTAAAATTCCCTCAAATGTCACCTCTAGGGCTTGGATGAGGGCCAGAAGAGTTGCACCTAGGTTACTAGTCCAAGAAAGCAATAGTTTATCTATTGATACAGGATATCAGGCAGACTCTCTTAATAACTGCCTAGCAAAGAGCAGTATTGCCTAATAGGGATTATCACATGTTATCAAATGCAGCTAATGGGATGTGTGTTGTTTTGGAACCTGTCAGTAATGATTAGCTTTGCCAACAACAGCTCAATTCTCTCCAAGCCACCGTATATAATGGGAGCAGACAGAAGGGGGGAAATTGCAATTTGCAATAAGGGTTTTGGACCATATCTGGGAATTCAAAAATTCATGGACTTTTTCTCAGACAGGTCATTTTTTTTTTTTGAGAAGCACTGCCTTTTGATCTGGAATAAATTCATATTTGTCATGTCATAAATTAATCTATTCTCTTCCGTCATAAATAAAGTTTAAAGTTTAATAACATTTATATGCCGCCCAATCCCTCCGGGCGGCTTACAGTACAGAATAAAATAAAATAAAATAAAATAAAATAGAAGGAAGAAAAGATAGATTTAAAAAACACACCATGCACTCCGTTCTAAATGAGGCTGGACCGTATTTGGGGTCAATAGTCCCAGGCCTGCCGGAACAGCCAGGTTTTAATGGCTTTCCGGAAGGCCGGGAGAGTGGGAAGGGTCCGGATCTCTGCAGGTAGCTCATTCCACAGGGCCGGGGCAGCTACAGAGAAAGGCCTCTCCCGAGTAGTTGCCAACCGGCATTGCCCGGTCGATGGAATCTGAAGGAGGCCCAGCCTGGGAGATCTTATGGGTCGTTGGGAGGTATGTGGCAGGAGGTGGTCCTGCAGATATCCAGGTCCCAAGCCATGTAGGTAACAACCAGCACCTTGAAGCGCATTCGGAGACCAATGGGAAGCCAGTGCAGTTCGCGGAGGATAGGTGTAACATGGGTGTACCTAGGTACACCC